TTTGGTGTTTCTAGTGTTGCAAGCCATTTCCCTGTTACTGAGGTTGCTGTGCCTCAAATGATCAGGAAAGAGTTGATTACAAAATATGTCAATTATTATATAATAGTTCTTAATCAATTTATTCTAGAACAAGAAATATTGTAAAATTCTTTTCAATGAGTTATTTAATTTTATCATAATATAAAATAATATTGATTAAAAAAAGATAATATAAATATATATTTTTTTATGTATTTTCTATAACTTACTATACTAGTCAAAAATCAAGATGTCCAATGACGAGCTACTCACGTTAACAAAGCTAGCCACAAAAAGATCAGACTTATACAAGCAAGTAAAATGTCTTGCATGTGAACAACAAGAGGAGACAATAGAACACTTGCTAGAATGTCTAGCATATAAAACTCAGTGGCATGAAATCTGACAAAAGGGTACAGAGAATATGATGCAAGGTTTCAACAAACTTCTGGCAGATAGGAAAAAGAAGTCAAAAGAAAAAGAAATAAGTCTGGTAGTTGATGACAAAATAGAAAGAGGAGAAATGAATAAGAAGATAGCTCAACTGGTGAAAAGAATCTCAAACACTGGTCGGGATATTTTTAGCTTCTGCATGAGACTAATAGAAAAAAATCTAATGGATGAGATAGCAGACTCAATGTACTATAAAAAAAAAATCAATAAAGAAGCAAGAAAATGGATAATTAAGATGCAGAAGAAAACACACAACCATTTTAGAAAGAAAATTTAGAATGTCAGATATGAAAAGGTGATAGAGTGGAAAAGAGGATTAGAAATTAATAGAGGTGATAAAATCAAAAGATTGACACACCTACAAAGATAAAGAAACAGGGCTAAGGTACCGGGAAAACAGTCATGTCAAGTACCACTAAAGGAAGAAGAAGCAGAAAATACAATGCTCAAATAGGTCCTGCGAGATGAAATAAAGTATAAGATGAAATAGTTGGGTTTTAATCTCTGTCAAAACTTGGAAAAGTGATCTGCAGTAGTGATCTGCAGGCAATGATGTTAGAAGTTGGAAGGGTGTTCACCCGAACTTCTAACGGAGTAATAAATTACTCCCGAAGTTGCACTTAGAAGGGTAAAATAACCTAGACGAGTGAGTTAGTTAAAGAATTAGCTTTAGCATCTCATATTATATGTACAGCTTACAAATGTTTAATAAAGTATGCGTAACTAGCCTGACAGAGGGCAAAAAAAAAAAAAAAAAAAAAGAAGTAACTTTATACTTTAAATAATGAAGCTAGTCAAAAATATAGATATAAGGTTTTAAAGCTGAAAATGGCATGGCATTTTCAAATAAAACAAAGGTAACTATTCAATTAAAAAGTATTTAGCATCAAACAAATATATGAAAGCCATATTATTATTTAAAAACAATAAGCTGGTGTATATGAATCAGCTAATTACTCATAAAATTAAAGAACTAAAAAGATAGCAAATAATCCAACTAATTCAGAAAACCAGTAAGGAGTTCATTCCAAAATAATATTTAATAATAAAAAGAGACATACAAGAAAGAAAACTAAGATAGTTCACAAAACTCTAAAAAAAAGCTTAATCAAAATAAGAATCAGCAATTACAAAGATAAATCCAAATTATAATAAAAGACAAATATTTTAAATAATAATAAATGATAGATATCAGAAAATAATACAAAAAAAACTAAGGTCAAAAGATACTAAGCAAATAATATAAATAGAATATTTGAAGTATATTGAGTCCTCAAATAATAAGGAAATTAGTCTAATAAAATATCTAGGATATATATAGGATGATTCAAAATTATTTGGAGACTGGAACATGCCACCAAACTTTATAAGTATAGAAGTAAATCTTTGATAAACTTCATCATAGTTTCTTGATTTCTTAGCTCCCCTCCTATGATATACAGTGAAGTTGAAATGACCACCACTACCCTCTCTGACAAGCGAAAAATAATATTATATTTCTGGAACCGAGGTAAATGCTGTGCAAAAGAAATATATATTATGATTAATATTTCTCTCCCAACTATTTATTACAACCTTTATAAGCTTAGTAAGACAGAAAATGTTGAACAGTTAAAAGGGACCGGTTATCCAGGGGTGATTACAAAGGAAATTTCACAAAAGATCAGATGCTATATAGAAGAGGATTTGTTCATATCAATAAGGAGTATAGTGGCAAAATTAGATGGGGTAATCTCTTAACCAACCCTCATATGATATTTAAACTCCCTCAGATACAAAAATAATATCCCCAAGGTAGCGCCAATGCTCACTTGCCTCCAAAGGAAGAACTGGTTATTGTGAGCTAAGAAACACCTGAAGGATCATTGGAGTAAGACTTTTTTCATGGACGAAACCACTTTTCAGCTTTTCCATAATATCACTGGGCAATGGTATAAAGGTTCTTAGCTAATTAAGTTGATTCCTAAAAATAGAGAAAAAATTTTTATGTGAGAAGGTTTAGTCGAGCAGGTAAGGTTGATTTATTTTGTTTTAGAGGAATAATAACAGGTGAATTCTACGTAAGTATCTTAGAGGAAAATATTGGGGATATCAAGGTATTAATGGAAAAAAGGTGGTGGTTCCAGCAAGACAATGACCCAAAACATACGAGCCGCATTGCAAAGTCGTACTTAGAGTCTCATGTTCCCAAAGTTCTTGAATGGCCAGCCAATTGCCTGGATCTAAATCCAATCAAAAACTTGTGATGCATAGTAAAGGCAAATATCCAAAAGAGAACACTGCAAAATTTGAATGAATTATAACTATTTTTGAAAGAGAAATGGGATGCAATCTCGGAAATTAAGTTAAAAAATGCAGTTAAATCTATGATAACCAGGTGTAAGTTAGTGATAAAGAATAAAGATAGATATATTAATTATTAAAATTATCAATAAAATAAACTACAGGTTCTTACCTTTTAAATGAGTGATCATGCGTCATGATTGGATCAACAGTTGCAAAATTAAATGATAAAAAATTTTTTAAAAATTTTTGAATCACTCTGTAGAAAGTAAAAATATAAAGAATCAATATAAAATAGAAACAAAAAGAAATAAAATATAGGAAGTTTCCTATCTAAACATAAAGAAATTCACAAAAAAAACCTAGTAATTAAATATTTCAAATCCTAAAATAGTTCTAGAAAGAACAATAAGGAAAACAATCCAAATATAAAAGAAGAAGTATATTAAAACCACCTAATTGAAATACTTCAATATAATTAACAGTTCAAAGAAACATTGGTTTTTTACTCTGATGGATCTCTTATCAATTATAAAAGTAAAAAAATAAAGATGGGAGTAGAATGATTACAAGTAGGAAGAGAGGATAGATAAAGTAAGTTCCAAATAGAAATAAGAAATGGATTATTATCCACTAGAACAAAACTAATAGAAATAGTTACAATATTATTAGTTGTCCCAATAAATAATAAAATCAAGATTTTTATAGATAGCCAAGTTTATATTGTCAAATAAAAGATAATAAAAAAAAAGAATCTCAGAAAAACTCATAAAAGATAATTAAAAAAAAAGAATTGATACCTATAAGTGATAATATTAAAAATTGTTAAAAAAAAAAAAGCTGGATCTGGAATTGATCAAAGTTAAAGTATACTCTAACATCTATACAAGGAAAAAACAAATACTTTAGCAAAGAAAGCTTTAATGCTTTCTGTAATTGAATGAAAAATCTTATATATCCAAAATCATCATTAAAATCAAGTAGTATGAAATAATTATAAATAATTCATAAAATAGCTTATCAAAAACATGAATAGCAAAGTATGGTTCATTAATGGATAAAATTAAATAAAATTTTAAATAAATAGAATCAACAGATTCAGGATCAATATAACTATATATGGGATTTAGTATGAAAAAAAATAAAGAATGGATATACTTGAGACATTTTCAAAAAAAAAGTTTTCTTATTAAATTAATAAATAAAAAGTTATCAATACTTTCTAAACTAATCATAAGAAGATTAGATCTATAAACAAGTAGAATATATGTCATGTAAATAGTAAGTAAAAATAATAGGATATCTATTAGAATACTTAATATATAAAACTCAATAACAGGAAATATAAAATAAAAAAAATGAAGGTATTCTAAAAGACTTTCAAAAACTTTTGCATAATAGAAGAAAAGAAATAAAAAAAAAAAAATAAGGTTTCTAGTTGAAGATAATAAAATTAAGAGAATTGGATAATTATATAGTCAAGTTTATAAAAGATATTGTAAAAACAAGTTAGAATATATTAAACTTTTACATAGGATTAATATAAAGTAATCAGATATTGAAAATGTCAAACCTAAAATATTACTAGAAAAGAATAAACAAAGAAGTCTAAAAATAGATAATGAAGATATAGAAGAAGATTTGTAATTAATTCTAAAAGAATATCTGAAATGAAAGATACTCTAGAATGATTGAGTGAGAACAAGTACAAGAGATCTATAAAGAAGACAAAATAAGAAGATCAACTGATTTTTTAAGTCAAAACAACAAAATTACAATTATAAAAAGATTTTTATAGAAAAAAAAAAAACTAGAAAACATGTATCTAAAATAAATTTTTTTAAAAAGAGTAAAGTATAGAATAAGATAGTTAGAATTTTAATTTCTATCAGAACTTACAAAAAGGATCTGTATTAGTGATCTGTAAACAATGAAATTAGTAGTTAAAAGGATTTTCATCTGAGCTATTAATAGAGTGATAAATTACTTCCAGAGTGATAATAATTAAGATAAGTAAGTTAATTAGAAATTTAGTTTTAGTAACACATTTCATATATATAGTATATTAATGTTTAATAAAGCACACATAATTAGCCTGACAGAGAGTTAAAAAAAAAAAAAATTAAGTTAAATTATAAGAAGTTTACTAAGCCAATTACTGTACTTGTTTTTATCAATTTTGGATTTATATTTTTTATTACATTTAAATAATTAGGTTAGAAAGAATTGTCGTGTAACTGTTACACATGGCTCAAAGTGAATTGATCGTCCCTAGGAACAATAAGTGATTGTATATCACGTACAGTACGTACGTAGCTAAAACGGAAAGATGATATAAGTGGTTCGGCTTCTGATTACAAAGATAAGATGACGAAGAGTACCGGGTCGTTATGTTCAAGTGATTCGCGGCATCGATGGGCATGTTTTTTTTCGGACCCGAAAAACCTTTGGTTCACAAACGTGATTCGGTTAAATAAGATTGGTGAATCAATGCGCATGTAATCAAGAATATATTTGTTATCGCTCGGAGAATTCTCAACCGAACTTCACTTAACTATTTGCGTAGTCATGCAGAGAAGCGATCGTTAAAATTTGCATGTGACATGAATTTGTACCACGAATATTGTTAGTCAACGCCAAACCGCCAAAATCCTAAGCATTTCGCTTGCAACACTTTGCCTAGTCCCTTACGATTTATGGCCTCGCATTTTTCTGCATTTCAATATGCTCTAGACCATCTCTGCTAATTAATATATCAACCGTGAATTATCGAGTAGTCTACCTATAGTCTAATTGTAAATATTTCTTTAAGTTCGCGAAAACAACCGTCTTCAATATCTTCTCGTACGTCTTCTCTGATTCTGATATTCTTCTTCATCTGCCTCAAATTCTTTGGGCTTATCAGCCCACACTTTTTTTTTTTTCGAGAAAAACCTTACATTCAATAAGTTTGTGCAAATATGTCTGGAGGAAACATTAAGGTCGTGGTCAGATGTCGTCCTCTCAATTCCAGAGGTGTGTATAAAAAAAGAAAGAAAGAAAAAACCATACATCTGTTATGACTATACTTTGTTAATTTCATTTCCTGAAGAATAATTTTTAATGAACCTTATGTCGAATAACCAATTTGTCTACTTTTCTTGCAGAAATTGCTCGAGGAGCAAAATGTCTCATCAAAATGGAAGGCAATCAAACCATAATCACCAAACCTGATGGAACTGATCCCGGGAACAAGAATGTTAAGAAAGATGGGTCAGCGGATGATGTCAAAGCCTTTACTTTTGACAAGTCTTATTGGTCCTTTGACAAAAATGATCCCCATTACGCTACTCAGGCACATTTGTACCAAGACCTTGGAGAAGAACTTCTAAACCATGCCTTCGAAGGATATAATACTTGTATTTTTGCGTGTATGTTGACATAATTTCATGGTTGTTAGTGATCGTTTTCGTGGCGAAGCTTGAGCAAAGTTTATTCATTCGTTTGTCTTCAATCTCAGATGGTCAAACTGGCGCCGGGAAATCATACTCTATGGTAATGGAACTTTCGAATGAGCTTGACTTCATTTGTTTTCACAATTGGATCTTAACACATTTCGTTCTATTGGTTTTTTTTTTTTTTTTTGAAAGATGGGTTATGGCGAAGACAAAGGCATCATTCCGCTTACGTGTTGCGAATTATTTAATCGCATCATTAATAACCCCAATCCTGACATCACATATCAAGTTCAAGTCTCTTACATCGAGATTTACAATGAACGTGTTAGAGATTTGCTAAATCCTAAAAATAAAGGAAATCTTAAAGTGAGAGAGCATCCTGCACTCGGACCGTATGTCGAAGATTTATCAAAACTAATTGTCAGTTCATTTCAAGACATAGAGAATTTAATGGACGAGGGTAATAAGGTATGCTAGGAATGAGTTTGTGTTGCCGTGATATTTGGACAATTTTGGTTACCATCTCTGTTTTTTTACTTTCAGGCTAGAACTGTGGCCGCGACAAACATGAACGCAACTTCAAGTCGATCTCACGCTGTGTTTACCCTATTGGTAACACAAAAACGGCATGACCGTGAGACCAAGATGGATACTGAGAAAGTTTCTCGTATCAGGTATCGTTATCGTCGTTGACTTTGAATTCTTTTGTCAGATCCATTCAATTGTCATTTATTTGATTTACAAAATTCGTTTGCTTTTCATTGAAAGTCTTGTAGATTTGGCTGGCTCTGAACGTGCAGACTCTACAGGTGCAACTGGAGCTCGTTTAAAGGAAGGAGCGAACATTAATAAGTCCTTGACCACATTGGGGAAAGTTATTGCTGCTCTCGCGGAGCAATCTCTCCCATCAAAAAAGGGCGGCAAGAAGACCGAAGTGTTCGTACCGTACAGAGATTCTGTGAGTCGGATTATTATGATTCCTTTTTATTCCCAGTTCACCTTTATTCAACCTGAGCCTTCACTAAACAAGACTTCGAATTTAACCTTTAGGTTTTGACTTGGCTATTGAAGGATAGTTTGGGAGGTAATTCTAAAACAGCAATGATTGCAGCCATTTCACCTGCGGATTACGATGAAACTCTTAGCACCTTGCGTTATGCTGACGCTGCTAAAAAGATCAAGAATAAAGCGGTGGTCAATGAAGATCCAAATGCCAAGCTTATCCGCGAACTTAAAGAAGAATTGCAAATGCTGCGAAGCAAGCTTGGAATCGAAGCTGGCGAATATAGCACCGGTTCTAATATTACTGTTAGTGACAGCCAGCAGATTATTGAACTTCGTGACTCTAATGGAAATACCATTAAGAAGACAAAGGAAGAACTAATTGATCAAATTCAAGCCTCGGAAAAACTTATGAATGAAGTAAACGAATCGTGGCAAGAGAAGATGAGGCGCACTGAGGAGATTCAACGTGAACGAGAAAAGACATTGGAGGAACTTGGAATTATGGTCGAGAAAAATAACATTGGTGTATTTCCTCCTAAGAAAGTTCCACATCTCGTCAATCTCAACGAGGATCCACTTATGTCGGAATGTTTGGTTTATCAGATTAAATGTGGTAAAACCCGTGTGGGTCGCTTGGAATCGGAAGAGCAGACAGAAATACGTCTTAGCGGTGAAAATATTCTGGATGAACATTGTTTCTTTGAGAATATTGATGGAAAAGTGACACTGCACCCTCGTCCCGACTGCATAACAATGGTGAATGGTATGCGCATAAGTGAACCAAAGTTGTTAAAATCCGGTTTTCGCATTATCCTGGGGGATTTTCACGTGTTCCGATTCAACAATCCGGAGGAAACCAGAAGGGAAAGGGCAGTATCAAGACAAATTAGCGACCTTAGGATAAACACCTCAACGCCAACCCCCTCCGGAAGCGGTGAAGACAGGCTTCCTGATTCTCCTACATCCACCGCGTCCCTCATGTCAGAAGCAGTGATCGATTGGAATTTCGCAAGAAGAGAGGCCGCGATCAACAACGGCCTACCAGATGATACTAGAAGTCGTCAGGGCACCCGGCAATTTCGTCCAGGAAGTCGAAATGATTATTCTGATGACGACAATAATTCAGAGAGAACCAATTCCAACGATATTGAATCCGAATTGGAGGATAAACTCAAGAGTTACAAGGAGGAGGTGCAAAAGCAACTCGAATCTCAAAAGCGTATTATCGAAGCATCCAATCAAGAAGTGGATGAGGTGAAGGCCGAAAAAATACAGCTTGAGCAAAAATTGGAAATCGTTCAGAAGGAGATGGAAAGCTTGTTAAATCGAGAAAAGGAACGTCAGGCTAAGACAATACAGCCGCGTAGTTTCGGCAAAGGCTCTGTAGTAACGCTGGACGATCCACGTTATACCGAGGAAGAATTACGCCTCCTTCGTAGGTCGACCACAAAATGGAAACGACAAAGATGTGTGCAGATGGCGGAGACGATATTGAGTAATGCTGTCGTGTTAAAAGAAGCAAACATAATAAGTAAGGAGCTTGGAAAAAAAGTTCTTTACCAATTTACCGTCATCGAAGATGAACCGCATACAAATCCTGTATCGTTCCTTGAGAGCATTTCGGCGCTTAATCAATACACCAACAATGACGATACTTCGCTGCATTACTCCAAGAAGCCTTGCATCGGAGTCAAAGTTATTGACACTAAGAACGACGTTGTGTATATTTGGTCCCTCGACAAGCTTAAGGCACGCCTACAAAAGATGCGCAACTTGTACAACTTCATTGACCGACCACAATATAGCAAACACTTCAATTGGGAGGATCCATTTTACGAAAATCCATGCCCTCGCTACACCTTCATTGGTAGTGCCTCGGTGGGACTGACATGTTTGCTCAGGAAAACCGAACATGAGCACAATGCGCCCATCATCAGAAGATATTCCGGAGATGTGGTCGGATTTTGCCGTGTTCGTATCAAGTTCATCATAGAGGAGCCGGCCGAAGAAGTGCCAAAGGAATTATCATTAAAGTCACCAGTTAATAATATGCTTTTTGAGGTTAAGATTATAGAGGTGACTGGCATCAAAGAGACACTGTTCGGTCAGGTTCATGTACAATTTAAACTCTCTTCCTTTGGAAATGCCTCTGCGCTATCATCGGAGCAGGTCATGTATGTCACAAATGCTGCCGATCCACCCGTAGATGCAGAGAATGACTCGATTCGATTCAACTTTGATAAACCAATAAAGATATTGCTCACACCTGCTGCCATGGATGCGCTCTCCAATGGTATGCTCACATTTGAGGTATTTGGTCGTGCGAATCGCGCGGCCTTGGATGATATTGAGCGATGGGACTATTATCGTGAGCGTCCACTTTACAGGGGAGTCAACGACCAATCCTCGTGCGAATCTTTGGTCCCTAGGGAACGGCGTTCTGAAGAAGAGTTGGTTGCCGAGGAGAAACATGACGTCGTGGCATGGGCTCAAGTTTGTGAGCTAGCACCAAACGGAGATTACGTGCCGGTTCAAGTACTCTCGCAGAATTCACTCGACCCGGGAGCATTCTTCTTAAGGCAAGGACTTCAGAGGCGTATCGTGCTCACCTTAACTCACAATTCCGGTCGACAATTCCCGTGGAACCGTGTGTCGAAGATGGTGATTGGTCAAGTCCGATTGCTTGATAGCAAAGGTCGACTGTCTGAATCACCGGTTCAAAATGATGTGCAAATGAACTTGCTGCCGGCGCAAAGTGTCGAATTCAACCGGGACGGGACTAGCGTCATGGTCGCGCAAGCTTCGTGGGACAGCACGTTACACGAATCAATATATCTCAATAGAACAACGCTTTCAAACAACCGAGTGTTGCTGGGACTTTCGTGGTACGTCGAAGCCGAGAAATGCGTCGAACCAATCTACTTCCACATGGATATTGCGGTGCAGATCCAAGGTCGTGAGGCTCGACCACCCTCGAAGTTGATTCAATTGCTAAATCAATCAAAAGTTTTATGGAAATCCAGCGGGCTGTTTTCCGTTACACTTAAACCTCCGATGACACGGAGAGTTTCTGAACTATGGAGATTAAACACGGCTAACAAACCAATACGTGGGGAAGAAATATTGGGAAATTGGATACCTCGCGGGGGTTTCATTAGTTAAGGACTATAAGAGAATTAGTGAACTTATACGTCGGAGGGAGGCTGTTGAGCGCACGAAGCAGATTCTTGCTTCATACGAAGCTCACAATGGAGCCTCTGCTGAAGTTAAGTCCGAATGTAGTTCTAATGAAGAGGATTTGGCCAAAAAGACGATAACCCTATGGAAGAAGAGATGGGGAACAACAAAAGAGGTCAGTATGAAATGAGATTCTAACGCACTTGGAATGATAATGTTCGATCGAATTATTATTGGATTAAATCGATTTTTATTGTGAAACGGTAGATCGTCATAAATCAAGAGCCTCCACTTTCAGGACCTCTCCACGAAGTGGACATATGCGACAGAACGCATCCAACGAAATTGGTAGCACAAGTTCGAATGGTTGCGAAAACGTAAGTAGTACTTGTAAATTCAATCAATTATTTTCTACTTGATGCAAAATTCACACATTCTCGCACATGTATTTGATTCTCGTCCAGTGACACGATAACTAAAAAGGGGTACTTATTTACCCCGGAAAACACAGATGACTATTGGGTCAAGCGTTGGTATGTCTTGAGAAGGTGAGTTAAAAAAAGTATTTGTGGACTTTTTTTTTGGTCGGTCGCATCAACAACTTTTGACACACGGGTGATTTCGTGTAGACCGTACCTGTTTATCTATGAATCTCAAAAGGAAACCGAAGAACAAGGCGTAATAAATATTGCATCAGTTCGGGTCGACTATAAAAAGGATCTAGAGGACATGCTTCAGGTAACGACGAGACATCTCGAATTTTTCATCGGAACATTCACCGGGCAATCACACTAACTCATACTATGCTGTCAATTATCCGCAGAGACAAAATGTATTCGCCATTTACACTAACAACAATGCATACATTTTGCAAGCCACGACAAAACAGGATATGATAGACTGGATCTCCAAGGTATCAATCGCAACAGTTTCTTGCAATTGATAATGTCATAGTACCACGGATATCAGGAACATTCTCACTTAGATCTCGTTTTCAATTCACCTCACGTCAGATTGATCAATTTTATGATATCGCGACGCTGGAATGAACTATCGATCAAACTAAATTATTCCGATTCACCTTCCCCATTCAAACATTTTTTTTTTTCACTAGTTTTGGCAATATTTTTATATATGCCTGTAATGTAGAATAAAATATGTATGCGTAGAAAAAAGAATAACTACCACTAGACTTTGTCAGATGGATGAGCTTGTTATTTTTCTATTTATTGCTATGTCGTGACATTTCGTCTCCTGCACGATGATTATAGTAAAGTCAGATCGCATGCGCGGCACATCCCCAACATCCCATACCTCACACTACGTTGTCCAAAACCAAAAAAAAAAATTAGATGACATATAAGGATTATTTTCTTCTTTTTTTTTTTTAATAAAATACTCATTAAAATTGTAATAAAAGATTCTCAAATTCAATTAAACATAGTTTTCAGGTTATTTCATTTATTTTTTAATTGATTATTTTGATAAATGAATAAATAGAAGGGATTGCTTTTTGTGAACAACTTATTTTAACACACTTCGATATTTATACATGGGACGAAATAAAACGGATGATAGATACCGATACTGAGGCATTCAGTTGGTAAATAAATTATGAGGCTTTCTGAGCAATCAATGATCGATTCTCACGAATCTATCCCGGGCAGCCCGTGGTGTCTCTTTCGATTTTTCTTTATTTCGTCAGGACAGTTGTAATAACAACCGACCAAAATTTCTTTTATCCCTTTTTTTAAATTCGTATGTATTCTATATAAGCATCGGGTTCTTGAAAACAGTCAATCAATCGTACAAGTAGTGTTTCCTCAAGGAATACAATGGAGATTAAAAGTAACACAACCGAGATCGCTGCGTCTAATCAAAGGGAGGTCGTTCCAGCGGAGAGAGAAAGGGAAAGTAATTACATTCGGGGAGGATGACAAAAAAAAAAAAAAAAGAAAAAAAAGAAAAAGAAAAATATTTACTTTCGTTTGAAGTGGCAGGAATGAGAACTAGGAAATCATATTTTTTTTTTTTTTTCAAGATGGATGAATAATCGCA